AAAACGCTCTTTGCTGTTTTGGAATTTGCGCAATACATTCGTTGTTTATGTAGAACAGAGCGACATGCATTATAACATATGCTCGCAGAACATTTTGTAATAGAAATGGCAATGACACTTTGGCGTTTTCTCCCCCCGATATCAGCGATTTTATTTATTAGAGTGGGTCTCAGAATACGCAATAAATCTTTAGAGTGGGTCTCAGAATACGCAATAAATCTTTAAGGAAGGTAATACCCGATGTAGCTAAACCACTTCGCAATATTTAGATAAGGCTTGATGAAGTAGGAAAAAAATTACTATTGGCCTAAACATTTTTTAACCCCCGAAATAACGGTAACATTTTGAAGAAAATCGTAAAATGTGAATTCAGTGTCCGATTTACTTCAAACTTACTTAAAATGTGCGTGAAGTACCAAATATTGTTGACCATAGTATTCCATTTTCATATTACATCTAATACAAATAAAAATATAGGAATGGGCAAAATTACGAGAAAATCAAACATTTATTTCCAATTTTCTGAGAAATCATAAATTCCATATTCATCTCAGGTTTCTGGTTGAGAGAAATATTTAGATATAGCAAGTTGTAAAGAATCGCTGATGGCAAATAAAGATATCGAAAATTGTGACTCTTTGTGCTTGAGGTACCAGATATATATCATCTTCACAACAGATCATGTTGGGGGCTTATTTTTTCACTATCTTGAACCCTGTGAGTGGGATGCACCAGAAGAAATTGTCCGATTGGATTTTGGAGATATATAGCTTTTTCTAAACCACAACCGATTTCAATATTATTTGACAAATTAATTTTTGTAAGAAATTTCTTTACACATTTTAAATTTTATTGAAATTAGAGATACATAGCTTGTTTGGTGCATAAAATACATGAAATCAGCCCATAATTTATATGGGATTCCAATATAATTTGGCAAAATTATTTTTGTACCAAAATACAGATTTGAAGATTATATCTGTAATCGATAAAAATATATGTGCATACTAAATCTATTATTTTGGAGGTAACTCCGTTTCTGACGCTTTATCGCCATATCGCTAGTTTCAAGTGGAATTTAAAAAAATGTAATATCCTATGTTACTTTCAGGAGATGCTGTAGTATATTTGGAAATGTTCTGAAAAATCTGTTCGGATCTTTGCGGATTTTGAGTCCATGAATTACAAACAAACAATCAAACATACAATCATTTCCCCCTTATATAGGTAATATAGCTGATATATATCCTCCTTTATAAGGTGGAGGGTAAAAAATAGAATGGATAAAAATGGATGGGTATAAACATGGAAATCTAAGATAACTTAGATTTTTAACCCTATGGACCAAATTAAAACTTTGATCATTATAGTCTGTCCATTAGAACCTAAGAAACTCTTACCCTGAAAATCAGAAAGTGGACCAAAAATGATTTTCTATTATTGTTGATTTGTTGGGGTTTTTGTGGGTCTTTTTCATTTCAATAAGGAAACTGTGTTTTTGAAATTATGTGTGATGCTACATGTACGGATCTTGATGGATCGCTTAATAGATATGCACTAGCACGTGCTCGCTACTTCGTCATCGAAAAGTACACCTAAACATTTAGATTCATTCCAAAATTCTACGGGAATTGTTTCAAATTTGGTATTTGAAGTTCGAAATGGATACTACAGCCTAAGACAGAAACTTGTCTGCGCAGGTTCACGTCTTCAAATAGGCCCCACATATCAGTACCTCCCTATATTCGGTATTTTGATGATTTTGGCGAAATTATTCAATGGAATTGTTTCAAATTAAGTATTTGAAGTTCGTAGTGGATGCTACAGCCTGTGAAAGAAAATTGTCTATGCAGGTCCACGTCTTCGTATAGCTCCGATATAACGGTACCTCCCTATATAAGGTATTTTTATGTTTTAAGCTATATTATTCACCGTTTATTTCAAGTTTCGAATTTGAATATGGTAATGACTTATGAAAGCAAAGCCTATGTAGATTCACGTCGTATAGACCCCAATACAGCGCCTATATTAAGTATTTTTAAGATTTTAACAGAATTTTTTAACGGATTTTATTTTTTGAACATTTCCAAATTCGTTACAATGTTCGGCTCGGCAGAAATTAATATTTTTTACTTGTTTAATACTCAGAATTTACAGTTTTTATACCCTACAACACTATGTGTTGGGGGTATTATAAGTTTGATTGGGCCAAAAATTATGTAACACCTCGAAATATTGGTTTCCCACATAGGAAAGGATCTTCCTATCTCGCCGAGCTCAGTCGGTCTAGCTATGTATGTCCCTCCGACCATCTATCCGTCTGTCCATGTTAATTTGTAATCACTCTACAGGTCGCAATTATGGTCCGATCTTCACGAAATGGAGGTGGGGCTAGGGTCAGAATAGAACCCTATTTCTTTTGGAGATGATCGCATAATATTTAAGGGTTGAAATGTACCAAAAACTGAAAAAATTCCTGATTTTGCAGTTGCTCTACAGGTCGCAATTACAGACCAATCAAAGCAGAAGTTAGCATGGGCCTAGAGCTTAGGGCTGGGCAGAAGCCTTCCAGTTTTGATGGTAATCGGGTAATATTTAGTGGGTGAAATAGGCCACAACATTTGTGTTAAATAAAAGTCCAATTTTCCATTAAACCGCGAATATTTTTAATCCCGGCGAAATCACAAATAGACGAACAGGTCAATTCTGACCGTTACGTAGATGCCGATAGTAAATATATCGGTTATATATAGCGAAATATGTACAATATGTATATACAAAGGAAAGGGATGTTAGCTAAAATGCTTATATCTCAAGACCGATGGCTGGACCGATTTTGACAAATTTTGTCAATTCAGAATACCCTCCTGTCATAAAAGCATAAAATCTAAAAAAATCGAGGAAAAATATGCCAATTATGATGTTAATTTAGATTTTGTAGTATTTTGTGACATTTTTTTATATTTTCATATTTTTTATCGCATGCGATTTTTTTCAATTTGACTTATGATATTGAAGTGTATATTTTGTAATATTTTTTCACCTTACAACACAGGTTGGGGATATTATATAAATATTGCAAATATAAAATTTTCCAGATTTTTCAGTCGTTATAAAGGTCCCAAATAGAAACCAAAGGACACAAAAAGTTAGAGTTTAGGACAGCGGGTACAATGGACCACTAATTTTGTGTTAAAGAAATACCAGCATTTCTTACAGGCGATTACCGAAATATACAAAAGGCGAACTTCTGGTTTTTTTATACTGATTTCGTTGACGAATTTAGCCAAATATCGTAAACAAGCAAATCATGTAGATGAGTCTAAATTAGGAGATACGGAGGGGCTTCTTGCTTTTGGAGATGGTTGCAAAATATTTAGGGGTTCAAATTAACCAAAAACAGAAATGTTTTTTCCGACCACGCAATTAAGCCAATCGACACGCCTGTGAAGAGAGTTAAGGACAGGGAAGAATTCTAGCATTTTGGATGACCATTGGATTATATTTAGCTGTAAAATGGACTACAACAACTAACAGCCCGACGGAGTGCAGAAATATTGGGCAAATGTCCCTAGTCAAAATCCTAATTTCAAAAGCGAAATCTCCCAATATGGATTTGGACATAAGGGGGCTTCTAACATATTGTAGTGTTGTAGGGTATAACATAGTCGGCCCCGCACGACTATAGCCTTTACTTACTTTTTAAGTTTGACAAAGTTTTTTAAGCAAAACTTCATATATCGTACTAAGTTTTCAGAATTTGAAGGTTATATAAATTATTTAATATTTTCTATTTTCGGAAAGATTAATAGGAAAGGGTTTACATTTTACGCCAAAAAGTCTTCAAAATCGTTCATTTACAAGTATACCGAGGAGGATGTTAGTAAAATCATTGCACAATGGACCCACAATAAATTTTTCTGTCCAAAACCATTTCAAAGTCTCCATATGTAACACCTAGAAACCAGCAGTGACTTCAATATTAAGTTAAAGGATTTGAGCTCTATTCCCTTCACCTAATACCACATTACATTACATCTCTGATTTCTAGACATCAACAGTGGTAGTGCTATCTAGTTCTTTTCGTACAAGTAAAATACGAAAACCATCTAAATATATATTAAATCAAAATACCAACAGAGAACTCAATATCAAATTTGATAATTTCAGTCCTAACCCTTCATCCATTATCAAATTTAGTATCATTTAGTACTTTTCGCATTTCCAAAAATCGCATCCATATCTTAGTCACAGGCACCAACAGTGACATCTATATCAAATTTGTGTATCCCAATCCAATCCTTTCAAATAATATCAAATTTAGTACTTTTCGTACAAATAAAGGACGTATTTGTAAAATCATCACTAGATCTTAACAACAGACACCAACAGTGTTACCTCTATTTATTTCAGGTCTTCAGCTCTACTTCTTCATCGTACACAAAATTTGGTACCATTTAGTAGTTTCCGTACAAATATAGGTCGCATTTCCAAAACAACCTCTTTATCGCAAAGCTACCACCAACAGAGTCCCAATACTAACCTTTCAAATTACCAGTTTCTCCCGTTCAACCAAAAGCGAATTGCACCAAATTAAGTACTATTTAGTACAGTTCACGCACTTAGTACACTTCCAAGACCACCTCCACAGTTCAATCTCATTACAAAATTTCGAATTTAGTCGAAAAACTAAATGAAACTTAATTTTCTTTACAATTTAATTCTCTGTACAGTCACATTTGAATAAGTTACGTTTGTTCGATATTGTTATGAGCACGGATACTATAACTTTTTTCACTACCAAACAACATTGAATGTGGTTTTCGAAAGTACACAACACTGTTTTACCCAAATACTTTTACATGAATTCAGAAGCGAGAGAATGTGTGTGTGTGTGTGAGAAAATGAGAGCGAGTCATAAACAGCAAACTCCAAATACACTTAACAAACATTTCACAAAGCACGGCCGCCAAATACATTCAGTTCATTTTGGGAATTCAAAGCGAACGAACGAACTTTAGCGGAAAAACATCGACGAGTGGTCCTAACGTAATAAATGAAGTTCTAATAGCCACATATACATACACAATTTGCAACGTGTCGTACATATATATCTCTTCAAATACATAAATATTGAAATATAAAAAAAATATATACGTGGAGATAGAAGTAACAAAAGAAAAAATAAATAAATAACTGTAAGAAAAAAGTGGGCCCTGAAGCCTAAAAGTATACTAAACTGTGTTGCAAGAAATTGATTGTGTCTATAATATTAAATAAAATATTAACCATAGCGGAAAGTGGTGTGCGGGAGAAAAATTTCTTAAGAATTTCCCAAGAATTTATGTGTCAGTGAAGCGAAAGAACGTAGAGTAAACGAAACGATTTCCTTTACCAACAACACAATTCGTGGTGGAGGGCAAGAAGTCACAGAATTTAAGTGAAATAAACCCGCAAAAAATCCCAGCACCATATGTTGGGCTGAACACTGACTGATAAGAACAACGCGAAGACTTAAAGAGTTTTAAAGTGCAAAGAATTTTAAAGACCAAACTCGGGTGTTGACTTCGTAGAGCAAACAGAGAGAGTCAGCCGCACGTGAAACCCATATAAACGTGATAAGCAAACATTCGGCATTTGACTTGTATTTTTCGGCCGTTTGCTCAACACAAACACACCGAACATAAAATTTGTGACAAGCAGAGATAAACGCCATTCCACGTTTCCCGTCAAGAGCAGCAGGAACAGCACCGTGGTAACAACTTCAATATCACTGTAAACCCCAAAGGCTATAAAAGCAAAACACACCAACACACCGACAGCCACACACACAGAGTGATATATCCATTGTAAGGGAAAAGTGTAATTGTTTTCAACAAACACAGCGTGTGTGCGTGTAAACATCTGGCATAAAGAAAAACCCATACTCCACACACCCACACACATACAGCAACAACTAACTGGGCCATCATCTGTTACACATTCTAAGCCTACGGCAGCAGCGGCATTATGACTGAAATTGTTGAGCTCAATGTAGGTGGTGTCCATTACACCACCACCTTGAATTCCCTGCTCCACGAAAAGGATTCACTGCTTTGCGAAATGTTTTCCGAAGGCCGTGAAAATCTGCTAAAGGACAGCAAGGGTCGCTATTTCCTAGACCGTGACGGTGTGCTCTTCCGTTACATTCTGGACTATTTACGTGATAAGACCCTAAATTTGCCAGAAGGTTTTCGTGAAAAGCAACGCCTTCAAAAGGAGGCCGAATACTATAAGCTGGAGGGCATGTTGGCATGTATGCGCAAGGAGCGTGAGACACGTTCACCCGGCAGCATAACCCTTGGCTATCGTGGCAGTTTTCAATTTGGCAAAGACGGTCTGGCCGATGTCAAGTTCCGCAAACTTTCACGTATCCTGGTCTGTGGTCGTGTCGCCCTGTGTCGTGAAGTTTTCGGCGATACCCTCAATGAATCGCGTGACCCTGACCATGGTGGTCCCGATCGTTACACCTCACGTTTCTTCCTCAAGCATTGTTTCATTGAGCAAGGCTTCGATATGTTGCATGAACAAGGTTTTCGGTTGGCCGGAAGCTGTGGTTCCGGTACTGCTGGTTCGGCGGCTGAGCCCAAGCCGGGTGTGGATGCTGAAGAAAATCGTTGGAATCATTATAATGAATTTGTTTTTGTTAGGGATTAAATGAGAAATTGTCCCAGGCCCAACAAATAACCGTAGGGTCATTATAGCCAATCTTCGCCAACTCTACTCCAACTCCACCTCCCCAGAACAAAAAAAAAAAAACAAAAAAACAAAGAAATCTAACACAACCAACCACCATAATCACCACCAAAGAATACAAATGTGTATCTGTTCCAGATCATAGTAGGAGATTTCTAGAAGAGATCTTTTAATCTAATTTAAAACTTAGTAAAATTAAAAAAACCAAAAAAAAAGAAAAAAACCTATAAAAATTGTTTGGTAAGAAAGTGAAATAAGTAAATTAGACAAAATAAATATGTATTTATAGAAACTATATGCATTTAAGGACAAAACTTCCCTACTGGTAAGGTAGAATGTATTAACATTTGAAGGCGAAAGCGATAAAGGACAATGTGTATCTATGTTACGTTAGTTACGCAGCAAGAAATATCAATTGAAAAAAATACGGCTACAATTTAGATTCAAATAATTATAATTGCAATTTTTCAGAGAATAGGAAAGGGAACTTTTGCTATAGGATATTTCATTCCAACATACGTAGGAATATAAACATTTCAGTGAAAATTACAGAAATGCACTCTGCTTATAATAGATAGATTGAAATGCTGCTGTAAATTAAGAAAATTACACCATTCACAAAAACATTTTATTTGGGATTCTTAACATTTCAATTATAAATCAGGAATTTAATTTATAATTCGTTATGTTCCATTTGAAATAAGAATTATTTTATTTGATACAGAACAATTAAATTTTTTGCATTGGCAACAACAATTTTTGGAATTATATTACAGATCGAGTTCAAAATTACAAATAAAATGCAATTAAAAAATCTTCCGAAACCTTCAAGATGCTTAAAATACTGGTACCGTACCTTGACGTAATAGCGAGTAATACGTTGTGCTACAGGCAATCAGGGTGTTGGGTAATTCTGAGTAGGGCGATGTATTCGGTTAGTAGATCAAATTATGGTCAGAATAGAAGCCCATTGCTTTTGGAGATGATCGCAAAATAGTAAGGTGGTTGAAATGAACCAAAAACTGAAAAATTTCCTGATTTTGCAGTTTTCTACAGGTCGTTAACATAATGCTAGAGATTAGGGCTGGGCATAAGTCTTCCAATTTGGATGGATGTCGGGGAATATTTAGTGGGTAAAATAGAACATAACATTTGTGTTAAATAAAAGTCAAATTTTCCATTAAACCGTGAATATTTTTAATCCCGGCGAAATCACAAATGGTCAATTCTGACCATTTCGTAGATGCCGATAGTAAATATATCGGATATATATGACTTTTATTTTGCAGCCGTTATAAAGGCCACAAATACACACCAATGTAAACGAAAAAGGGTAGAATGGATCACTACTTTTGTACGAAAAAAATACCAACATTTTAATTCTACCGAAAAGCTGAAAATAACTTACAGGCGATATCCAAAATACACAAAAGGTGAACTTCTGGCTTTTTATGCTGATTTCTTTGACGAATATAACCAAATATCGTAGACAAGCAAATCATATAGATGGGTCTAAATTTGGAGATACCTCTTTTGGAGATGATCGCAAAATATCTAAGGCTTCAAATGAACCAAAAGCAGAAAAATTTTCCTGATCACACAATTTAAATCAATCGACACGGAATTTTACATGAGAAGATAGTTAAGGACAGGGAAGAAGTCTAGCATTTTGGATGACCATTGGATTATATTTAGATGTAAAATGGACTACAATAAGTAAAAACACGACTGAGTGGGCAAATACCCCTGGTCAAAAAGCTATGGGTAATATCTGGACAGTGGTCTATGACATAATTTCAAAAGCGAAATCGTCCAAAATTGATTTGGACATATGGGGGCTTCTAACATATTGTCGTGTTGTAGGGTATCACATGGTCGAACCCGCACTTGTTTTCAAACTTATTTCAGCAAATTTTTGATTTGGCCCTTATTTGTCATCTTGGATTATAAGGGGGTAGAAGAAAGCTTTCAATGTTGGTTCAAAGGTCTTCACCACATATTCCAAGGATTTGGGTATTTGTATTTAGGCTACTTTGGAGGTGAAAATCTTACACAGAAATTTCAACATAGGTACAAATGTTAAGTATTTTTACCATATAACTATTCCCCATATCCACCGATCTATAACCCTTTGGCGCACAATTTAAGGTGTTATGGTAATGGATGTAAAAGAGTAATTAACAATGGCTATTCTTAAATCATTCTGCCCTCAATTATGAAGTGAGCAAATTCCAAATTACTGCTGACTGGAAAATTTTGCTTAGAGTTTTACAATGCTAAAAATTAAGTTGAGCCCTTACACGGGGGTAAGGTTGATATATCCTTTTTAATGGATTTGTAAAGCACAATCACACATTTTGGTCGCTATCTTTCACATTGCAGCCACCGGCTTCAAAATAGGAGCAGGGCTTATGAAACACTTTAAATCGACCAGTGCAGAACACTTATATCAGCCATATCTTTGGATAATTATGCTTTGAAAAATATGCATAATAGACAAAAACTGCGGGCCGGCAACGCCCACCGGGCCAGCTAGTATTCTAAATAAAAAGGAATAACAATTGGAATACTCTAAATAGAACTGAAATGATTTGAATTACAATTTGTATTCATGAATCAAAACGAATAATAAGTAAAAATGATTTAAAATTTATGTAATCTAACCTGTAATTTCATCCGAGAGGGACTTCTGATGCCCTCCGTAACGAGGAAGTATTTCAAATTATTTCCTTAATATTTTTCTTATTAACAATCCTTATTGAAAACCCGCTGTAAAATGTCTGTACAACTTCTTAACTACTGAATATCCGTCAAAAATGTTGTTTGGGAGATATAAGAACTCATGGAGCTGAATAGAACATTTTCTGCTATCCATTACTAACTCCAAATTGTGTGGGGGCTATACGAAAATGTGGACTGATTTTCATTTGTTTTTTTTTTTGTTTTTTTTTTTAAACATCCAAAAAAGTCTCGGAATTTGGAAAATCGAAACCTGAACCTGGTTTGGATTGAAAAAGGCCCAAATCATTCCACGTTCAGGTATAGCCCAGAAATGTCCAAAATTGATAAACTATTTGATATAGATCCTACACAATGGTATTAGAGTTGTTGGGGCCAACTAACACCTGAATTGACATTCATTGGATATTTTTAATTCTCATTTGATAAAAAAAATTGCTTATAGTACTAACATATCGTTTGGAAAATTTTCAAAGCTTAATGATAGCGAAATATTTTCATTGTAGATCCAGGATATGAAAATGAAATAGTATCCTTCAATTTTTATGGTTTGTTAGAGGTCAGATATATTTATATTTCGTATGTGTTCAGTTGGGATGACGATGTCCATATTCCTTAAAATCCATGATATAAAATGATCAGTTTTTTCCAAGGAACGTATTGATTCTTCATTCTTCAATAAGACGACTCCGAAATCTAATTGAAGTGCTCAATATTGATAAATTTAAACACAATTTTCCAAGGGATATGTTTTTTTCTCGCTTTGAACTCATACCATAAAAATGTAGTAAATTCATTTGTTGAATATGGCTAAAATGCCTTAAAGTGGACCCACATTCATAATTGTTTACAAGAAAAAGATAACCAACATCCCTTTTAATACCACGAATGCCAATTAACAAATAATTTGGGCAAATATATTTTCAATTGATGGTTAGCTTGCTATCTCAGCTTTAAGAGGCTTTAAAGATAATGGAGCTTATCATTGGTGTCATGTTTAATTGGTCCATACACTATTTTCCTCTGAAAAATTACATCCTATTTGGTCTGAAAATTAGCCCACGGAATACAGCAAATTTGGAGGCTCCATTGAATTGGAGCTATACCAGTTAGTATAGTATTGAGCACTTTTCGAGGCGTCTTGGAAGCAATATCCAAGTTTGTACGAAGCTTATATCTTTCTAAATGGCCATAATTTACGTTAGATCCCCGATTCCATGTGAAACACCTAACCATTTTGGTTCCCGTGTTCACCATTAAGACAATCTTCGGATACTCCTATGTGTTTATGCAACCTCGCAAACAACCATACCCACAAATACTAAATATTGCTCAGTGTTCTGTTGCAATCCTTGTCCTTCATTCTTTTATTAAACTTTCCATTTTGTGAAACCTTCATCAAACAATGGCTGCTAAAAATATTTCTCTCATTAATATTCAAGGATACATATCCTCAAAATACAAAATTTTAAACTAAATTTAAAAATATAATTTTATAAATTCCATTAGCGTAAATGGACAAAATCAATTCCATACATTTTTTATGAATTCCTATTGTTTGGGCATTCTATCATGAATTCTGGACAAAGCTTGAGTGAATTATTTGCTGCCATACACAATGAATGGATGAATAAATGGATGGACGGACAAGACGAAGAAAGAAAAAGGTAGAGAACGGACGAATGGAATGTATGCACATTATTTTATTTATTCATTTCATTATAGTCTACCGTTAGCTTCAGATATACCAGGAAATTGAACAAAACAACAACAATGACCAGTGTGTGTGTATGATTGATTTGCAATTTTCCACACAAATGAACAAGGTAGTAGTAGTAGTAGTGGTAATTTGCAAGGATAGATAGTATAGGAGTATGTATAAGAAGAAAGGCTAACGGCCATACTTGGTTTGAATTTAGGGGTGTTGGGAAAAATGTTTTAATGAACAAAAAGTTTTATTTTAACAAAAAACATGGGCTGTACAGAAATTATGACAAATATCCCAACATCTGCAGATGGTTATAAAAATAGGCTGAATACCGGAGAAGAAAATATCTATTTCGCTAAAGTCTGATAGAATTTATTCATATTCCAAATTATTTAAATTTGAGAAAAACATAAACTATCCTCATTTGTTCCAATTATTCTTTCATAAAACTAGGTCAGGGATTCCTTCAATTCTTTTTCAATTAAATAAGATGGGCATTTATTGATATTTTATGAAATGGAAAATTTATTGAGCAGGAACTATGTGATAAGATGGAGCCTAAATTCAATTCATCGTGGAGTCATTGGTAAATCGGAATATTCCTAATCGAATTATATGAGTCTAAATCGAAA